CATATTTACCAGCATGAAATCCGGGTCCAGCTCCCTGCTGCAGCCAGCAGGGACTGCCTGAATCACCAAAACTCTCCAAATCTATTCGGAGAGCTTTGAATCAATTCAGACTTTTAATTGGTCTCCTGATTCAATTCGGATTCAGAGATTCGGCCACTGAATCCGGCTGAATCTCCTCCAAATCGAATCAGCACCCAAAGCTTCGCACAGCCCTAGTCTGTAGTACCTTGAAGATGTTTGTGGTGTGGAAACACTTTATTATTTACAGGAAATTATTGTACTTACCAATTCCAAGATTACTTGAATTTAAGATGACCACTAATAATTAGATTCTACACATGGAAAATTTATAAATTTGTTATAATTTTCCATGTATGGAATCTAATTATTGGAGGGTCTTCTTAAATTTGTCCCCTACTGCTGTAACAGGGAAAGCAGCAGCAACGGGGCAGGCAATGGGAGGGCAAGTGACAGAGGAGTTAAGCAGCCTACCCCATACCTTGCACCCTGTCCCCTTTACCCCTTGCCCCCCTATTGTCTGTCCCCACCAGGCCTGCACCCCCTGGCACCTGCCCCCCTTGCCACTTTCCCCTACAATGCCTGTACAGGCATGTCACATCTTACACAGGGGTTAGGTTCCGAGATCAGTGCATAAGACGAAAATCACGCATAGTCAAATTGCCAGTGATTTGACTAGCAGCGACTGCCTCTGCCTCCAAAACCTCCTGCCACCACCGTGGAGCTGTGCTTGGAGCTGTGCGGCCGGTGGCAGCGGTGCAGCGTGGGGGGGGTGCGTGCCCCCCGGCCACCACCACGCTGCCAAAACCTCCTGCCGCTGCCGCAAACTGAAGCAAACTGAAGCCCTGCCCCCACTCCCACCCCGCGTGAAGTTGAATTCGCGCAAGTTAAATGCGCGTATGACGTGACTGTACTGTACCTCCTGGCACCTTCTCCCCCTTTCTTGCTCCCCCTACTACCTGTCCCCTCCTCTGCAGTGCCCAGGCCCTCTCAGAGGTCGAGAGAGGCCTGGGCCACTTCCATTTTTTGAGGCTTAAAATACAATGCAATAATTTGTAATAAATGTTCCTTTTTTATTTAACAAGTGCTTTTCTAGCTTTTTTCTTCTTCTTTCAATCCTGTCAGTGTATCTCTGTGTCTGTATGTATAACCTCATTTGGAGATAACGTCAAAAGTCTAAATTTGAGGCCCTCCATGAATGAGAGGCCTGGGCCAAATGGCCCTCCTGCCCCCCCCCGTGATAGGCCTTGGCGGTGCCAGCACCCTGCTACACCTGCACCCTCCAGTGTCTGCCCTCCTCTTGCTGCTTGGTTCCCCCCTTGCTGGCCTTCCCATGCTGCCTCCACCCTAATTCATGGCTCTGGCCCAGATCACATGCTAGCTCTGGCCCCCTGCTCAGCCAAGAAGCAGTGGTGGCAATAGCAGCTCCAGTGCCAACTCCTGGACTGGATCCAGAGCCAGGGTTGGACCTGCTGTCACCATTACTGTTTCCTGGCCAGGCAGGTGCTGGAGTCAGCATGTGTTCCATGCTCTGGGCTGGAGTAGGGCCAGATCCAGAGGCACAACTCCAGGTAAGTGGCAGTGGTGGGGGAAGGAGAATCGGGGCAGGGAAGCAGGTAGTGAGGGAGGCCAGAGGTGGTAGGGGACAGATGCAGCAAGGAGAAGCTCTGGTCCTGGGTCTGGCTCCAATCTGGGGGCTAGGGCCAGCTGCCACTACCACAACTGCTAATTCCTGACCAAAAGAGGCCACAGCCAGCATGTTTCCCACGCCCAAGGCTAAAGTGGGGCTGAAGCCAAAGCCATGACTGGGTAAATGGCAGCTATGGGGCCAGAGTGGGAGGAGGGAGGTGAAAGCAGGGTCAATAGCAGTGTGAAGTAGAGGTGTGGGGGGGCAGGCAGTGGGGTTAGTGGGTTAGTGTGGTGAGGGCAGAGGCAGCATGGCTCTGCCTGGCACTGGAGCAGTGGCAGCCACCTGCCACCCCTCTTCCCCCTTCTTCTCCAATCCAAGATGAGGGGCTTTTTTCTCCATGTTGAATGGAGGGAAAAACCTTGTCTTGAATTCAAGCAAATAAGGTATATAAAGAACTACTTACACTAAAGAAGTAAAAGTCTTACTGCTGCACTTGCAAGGATCTGGGGCCTAGCCTTGTTGCTGTCCTGCCATACCAGGAGGTTCCTCCTGTTTCACCCAATCTGTCTACTGAGATGCCACACTTCATGGACACTCAGGGTTTCCAGGAGAACTTGTCCTGCATCACACAGTGGGCCAATGACTCTGGAGAAATCTTTTTTTCTACATTCTACCTTCCCAAAAACAAGGTTTGCATCATATCTGTAGGGATGTGGTGTGTGAGAAAAGATATTAAGATGTAGGGGAGTTAATCTAAAAATTAAGTTACAGTACATGTAAATCTGCATATTACTAAAAGATCTAAAATATTAACTAAACTAAGAAACAGAAAGACAGAAACCAAAAGGGCAAATGAGTTTTAGATACAATTTGGTGGTGGTGGTGACAGCAGGTCCAACCCAGGCTCTAGATCCAGGAGAGGAAATACATTATAGTGAAGAAGAGAAATTATGGGCAGAAGTTCAGTCCAATCAAGACAATTTTGTTGGGTTAATTGGACTTTAGTGAAAATAGCTTTTGTTCACATGGCTGCACTAAGTTTACTATGTGAATAAGTCAATAAACTAACTGATAAAAGACAAGGCACCTACTGGCAAAAGGAAACTGACGGGGAAGTAGCAAATGAAAGAAGACACATGGAAGAGAATGGTTATACATACTTACAACAGGCTTATAGACACATCCTCTCCGAAAGAACAACTAATGTCAGCAAAAACCAATAAAGAAGGAAAAATAGAAAAAAAGAGATAATATCTAAGTAACATGAAACATGAAGAAAAATAACCACAAGGGGGAAATTATGATAGAAAGCTCAGTGGAATGCAGCAGCTCTCTTTTTGACCATGCAAATTATGGAAAGAAAAAAAAAGGATGTAATCCAGACAAAAGCCAATTTTGCTTGGGAAGGTTGTCAGCATCTATTTACTAAAGCTGGGCAATCTTACAAAAGTCAGATGTGAATCTAAACACTGCAAACATTGAAAAGTCTAAGTGCAGGCTTTTTGTTTAATCCTTTTTTTAAGAGAGAAGTTATTAACCATATCTAATCTTTCCAAAGGTAATAGGATGCTTGCCTGTAACTTGCATTAATAAGGCAATCAGACAGCATCTGATGAAGTGAACTACGGCTCAGGAGAGCTTATGCTATACATCTGTCACTTAGTTAGTCTACAAATCGCAAATCTACCTTGCCTTTAACCCGTGAACGTGCCATTTGTTATTCCATGGGGGATTATTTTACTCCTCATGTAATTGGGTTTTAGTTCCTATTGAAGACAACAGAAATGGTTCCCTCCTATGCCAGAATTAAATAGGACACTTGTACCCCACTCTCACCTCTCAAAAGTATTAGAGATTGGGGAGGCATAAATTAAAGAGAAACCAAAGATTATTTTACATTCTTTTTTTGGTTACTTTTCTTTGTACCCACTTCATTACATCTGCTTGTACATTTAATTTTATGCTCCCACCAAATGCCAGATCCGTACAAATTTTATTACATTTTCAAATGCACTCATATTATTATTGCTGTTATGTCACTGGTAAATAGGATCCAGAGACCAGCACTGGAGCTGCACCTGCTTACTCCAAGCTCTGTGTGACCTTTAGTGTAGTAAAAGTTCCCAGTATATGGGAGGGGAAGTTACCACACAAGATGCCCTGTTTATCTGTGATTTCTTACCTTTTTTGCAAAGTAATAGTGTGGTACTTCCATGCCCAGAAGAGACTGGTAGGCTACAGGCAACGGAAAGCTATCCTGCAGCAAAAGGCCATGCTCTTCAGTACTGAAGAATGATATAATCAAAACATCCGGCTGGAAAGGGAAATAAAGCATTGTTTTGTTTTGCTTTTATGGTGAAGTATCTTTTTTAGTTTAGTTTTTATTTTCCATTTTCACTTGGCAGAATCATCACTTAGAAATAAAATAACATCCATACGCACCTGCTGGTAGGGCAGAGTTACAGGCTTCCTCCCCACAGTAAACAGCCAACAAGTCATTCAGTTCTTCAGATTATATTCCTGCTAAGGGCCAGTCACCTCTGCCTTTCAGGAACCAACCTCCCCATCCCTGAAGAGGGAAGCCCTTGGAA